TCGAAAAAAAAAAAGCGGAAATTGCGCGGTCGAATTGAGCAAAGCGAGCGAAAAAAAAGCGATCGAAATCCGGAAGCGGGCGGGAGGTTCGGCGAAATGAGTACTGTATGTACTGACATGTTTTTTGTCCAAGAAAGACGTTCCCTTTCATTTAACCCCCCCGTTAACTCTTCGCGTCCATGGTATTTTTGAGAGTTGAACAATTTTTTGAACAAATGACAAGTAACTATATTGATTTGCGTCAAGCTGGGTGGCCCGAATATAAATATCAGTGCGTGAACTCTGGAGGTTATTGCCCAATGCGCACATAATTCAAACGCGTGGTTATTAGAGTTCAGTCAAAATGTACGTGAATGATGATCGCGGTGTCGCAAACCGGTCATGCTGCGTTCTACAATTGTCACCTAGTAATGATTATAATCACGTGCAAAATATAAATTCGTTGAATTGTTATGAAATTCAAATAAATTTCAACTTATTTCATCGTAAGCGAATGATTCCGATCGCATTTTCAGTGCTCGATGCTGTAGAAATGAATATCCACCATGTTTGACCTGAGTGGTGTTCTTTGACCTGATAGGTCAAATGATAATTAACTAATAAAAACGATGGAAGACGGCAATGTGTTCAAAATACCATAGCTCATTTAAATAAGTTAATGTTATTGTTCGCAGCACGGAAGAGATTTGCCGATGTTGTTGTACGATCTTTTGCCTTGGATTTTGAAAACGACATGATTTGTTTTTAAATAAAAAAAAAGTTGGTTTCAAAAGATAAACTGAGCATTTAACATTATTTACGGCGATAACAGCTCATCGTCAAAACGAGGCTAACCCATTCATGCTTGTCACAATACACATCAATACTCTTGAATAGGCGTCAATGACAACGGCAAAACTTTTAGGCATCAGAAAAGATTAAAATAACACCTTAAAAACTGCCGAAAAATCGCCCTGGGCGGTTTCTTGGTCCCATTTTATTTTTTGAAGGTTAAAAAATGTGTAAATTTACTTAAGTGGTAGACTACTTGATTACGTCACTGTATATGGGACACTTGATCACTAGTGACCTTAATGACAATGTTGACATTCAGGCCAAATCTCGTCTCTTCTATGCGAGAGGCAACGCTATTATTTACGATTTTAAATTTCCGTCCTTAGCTGTTAAATGTCATTTATTTTCTGTATTTTGTGATATTCCGTATTGTGCATTTTTGTGGTATAATTTTACACACTCACATGTATTTCGTAAATTATCTTGGTATTCACATTCTGTTGTACAGAATACATTGTTTGTTATTCTTTATATTGGATCTTTTGATGAAATTCTTCGGAAAAAGACATTTAGCTTTATTAGTAGACTGCACCTTTCATCTAACGCCTTTGTAACAACACTGTACATTTCAAGTCATTTCCAGAGTGAGATATGGAAATTTTGGGAGGAAGGATTTTTTGACTTTTATTTTTTTCGCTGTTCTGAAATAAACACATAATAATAATAATAATAATAATAATAATAATTACTCTTCAACAACATTGGCAAATCTGTTCTGTGTTGCGTTCATTAACATTAACATATTTGAATGAGCTTTGGTAATTTGAACACGTTGGCATCATTCAGCATTTTGATTGGTTGATTAGTATTTTGACCTGTCAGGTCAACTTGCTAGAGACAAAACATGGCGGATATTATTAAAGTATTTCTCTTACACTATAGTTTGTAAAATAATTTCATCAGAGAGTTTTGTCTTCTACCAAATTAATGCCTGACTCTTTCAAGTATCAAGAATTCAGTAGATACTATAAACCCATAGAAATGATAATAAATGACTTTTTTCATCGTGCAGATCAAATTTTGTCTGGACACTTTTTCTAGGGGAGTGACCATTGTTGAATGCTACTAATGGCATTTTTAGCTCAGCTGTCATTGAAGATAGCCAAGCTGAGCTCATGGGTTGACTGGACCTGTTGTGTCTGTCCATCATACGTAGTATGTCGTCCATCAACTTTTTAGCTCCGCTGTTGACTTTGTCGAGCGGAGCTCATCATATGAGTGATTGTCCGTCGTCCGTGTCAATGTTTTACTTTTTGACTCCCGTGTGCGAAGCACAAAAGGGAGTCTTTGCAGTTACTCTGTTTGTATGTCTGTCTGTATGTATGTATGTATGTGTATGTATGTATGTATG